AGAGAGAGAGAGAGAGTTTATGCCTTCCAGCTAAGCAAAGCATAGAACCATGGCAAGTTTCTGTTCTTGCTGAGAGAGCTTTCAGAAATCAATGGGCCCTTTAGCTAAGCTTAGAACCATGACTAATTTCTGTTCTTGCAGGGGCAGTTGTCCATTCAGTCGAAATCGACCCAGTGGTGATCTCAGCCTCTATCCAAGCAATGGGTTTTCCAGTTACATCAAAACCTGATGCAATTGACCATCAGACTCGTCCCGACACTGTGGATCAAGCCATGTGGGATGGCATCCATGAGAGACTCACTCTTTATGAAGCAGATGCAGAGGAGTTCATTCAAAACTCTCCGACTTCTCTCTATGACATGGTCTTCATCGATGCCTATGATGGCGATGACATTTTCCCTCGCAAGCTTTGGGATCCAGACGGGTTGTTCCTCAAGACCTTAGAAACTCATTTAAATCCTCATCATGGAACTGTGATAGTGAATCTCCATGCCGATACTGATGCATTATCAGACAGCAATTCTTCATTGTCAGATCCTCTTTTGCCTATGGGCAGGCATGTCAAGCGTGTGTGTCGAGCTTATAAGGAGGTCTTGGGTAGAGAGAGAGGGGGTTTGGAAGAGAGAGAAAGTAGGAGCGTGGGTTTTGCTGTCTCAGTTCCTTGGCTTCAGAACATCTCTCTTGTTGTCTGTAGAGGTTTTAGTTATGGCTTGGCAAGGGCTGGTAGGGGTCATTCAGAATGGCACTTCAAGAGGGATTGGATATTAGGTACTCTCATAGCTAAGTCCCAAGTGGTGGAGAGGTTGCTCAAGTTGCCTTTTCCATGTTTGCAATATATCAAGAAAGGATTTGTTTTAATTGATTGAGTATAGCCATTCAGAATGGACGATTGGATAAGGGGAAGTATATAAGTTTTATGCTAGAAGGGAAGCATAGGAAGCTTGTCTTTTACACAATAGGCACCATGTTTTGTGCATCATGTTTTACACAATAGGCACCATGTTTTGTGCACCATGTTTTGTGCACCATGTTTTACACAATAGGCACCATGTTTTGTGCACCATGTTTTGTGCACCATGTTTTACACAATAGGCACCATGTTTTGTGCGCCATGTTTTGTGCACCATGTTTTACACAATAGGCACCATGTTTTGTGCTCAACCTTTGTTACTCTAGTGGTCGGAAAATACCATGATGTTGGAAGTCCTAAGCTCTCTCTCTTTATCTTTTTCTCTCTCTTGCTTGCCTGCGTGCACACTCAGGAGGTCGGCCTTCCATCTCTTTGGGTTATCTCGGGTACCGGAGATGCTAGGAAATTTTCGAAGCTGGCATTGGTCTCTCCCTCTCAGGCCGTGTTTGATTGATTTCAGGAAGATGGGACTGTGAAACCCGCATCTTCCCTCCTCTTGCGTTGGCTTCTATGAGGGCATGGAAGCCGCCACTTCCACTTATTAACATTGTTTTGGAAGCCACCGCTTCCAAATATCATAGCAGTTCCCAATTTACACGAGCCTTCAATGAACGATCCCCAATGAATGACCCCTTATGAAAAATAATGACTGCAATTGGCACGGCGACTGAAAGTTGATGTCAGTATGCTTCAAGTACCCAACAATGAAAGAAAATGAGAAAATTACAAATTTATCTATTGTTTTTACTGTTCTTATAATATCACTTAAAATTTTAAATTTTCACTTACATTCAATTTTTGGTATATTCTAAGTATACCCATTCTTAGGAACCTCAAAGTTTTTTGAGATTTATTTCGGAACTTCAGCCTCCAAAATAAAATAAAAAATAAAAAAATTGGACTCCAATGTTTTTATTCTGAAAATCCAAATTTAATCTTCAAGTAAATTTTGGATTCTAAAAATCCAAAAATTGCATCTCATGGATTTGCAATTTTCAGATATTGAAAATACAAAAAAATTGCAATTTTTAGATTTTTGAAAAGTCTGAATAATTTTTGGATTTTCCAAATCCGAAAATTTTATTTTCAAATGAATATCGCATTTCAAAATTCAAAAATGTTGGGGGACTCTAAAATGAAAAAGTTTTAAAATAGATTTTATTAAAGTTTTGGATATTGAGAAATCGAAAAGTTTAATTTCTATCCCCTGGTACAAAAGTAAATTTAGGATCTTGAAAATTCAAAAAATGCAATTCGGTTATTTTTAAAAATACCGACAAAATGTTGTAGTAACAGGGTTTTATTGGATCAATTATAGATTACTCTCAGGCAAAAATATCTACTCGAAAAGATTTTTTTAATTTGAAATTTTGAAATATTATTATGAAGGGTGCGGTGTGCATAGAGCTGAGGCTCTAAACAATCAAGATAAAGCGGACCTTAAAATAGTGTCAAGAAATGTTTCAATACTGGAAATCTTTGTGATTGTTTTAAAATATATTTTCATCTTAATTATACAATTTAAAGCTTCAAAAATAGTGTAGATTAACTATGAAAATTTGGAAATCTTGAAAATTGACGGTCCAAAATGTGTTGCAAGATGCATAATTTTCAAAACTTAAAATCCATTTTTTCTCGTGTCCATACATCTTGATGTTGAAATGATCAATTGGAACATCAAAGCAACCTCTTCTAGTGAAATTTTGGAGATGGGCTCCAATTTGATCGTTTGGACCCTCGGCTCTATATAAACTTTTTCCTATTAAGAATGACCATGCAAGTGTTTCCAAAAGACAAATGCAAGTGTTTCCAAAAGACAAATAATGTTGAATAGTAATCACAATGATTTGACTGCCTTCCTATTAAGAATCACCATGTAAGTGTTTCCAACAGGCAAAGAGTGTTGAATAGTAATTACTTTGATTGACTACCTTCTCCAATTGTTGCACCTTTTCTTCTTCTTCTTCTCTTTCTTTTCTTCTTCGTTCTTCTTTCTTCTTCTTCTTCTCCTTCTTATTTTTATTTTTTATTTTTTTTATTTTTTTATTTGTATTATTATTATAAGGTTGGTCGCTAGGTTGAGGTTACATCTCCAAAATTGGGATAGAGTCGGTTTTACCTGAGGGAGTATATGTATAATATGCTCCTTCCGAAGCATACTCTTTCATAGATGGTAAAAAAACACAACAACAAAAAAAACAAGGAAAAGAAAAAAAAAAGAAGATAAATCATGGATCCGTGATTTATTCAAAATCATTGGATAGAAAACTATTCATGGATTTAACAATAAACCAAATTATAGAGCTTTTCTTTTAATGCTCCAAATTGAAAGAAAGATTTATGTGATCTTTTATCGGGGAATACATTTTTTTTTTTTTTCTTCACTCATTTCTTTGGCAAAAGATCACTCATATGTGGTCTTTATTATAATAAGATAAATTTCAAAATAAAATCAATATAACAATAAAACCAAGATCTTACCAACTTGATGTCATTGAAACAACTATGCACTATGCTTGAGAATAAAATATAAGATTGCAAGAAACAAAAGGAAGAGTGTCGGAAATTACCTCAACCGGGCTTATAATATCCCACACCGAGTCACCACCATTCGATGGCACAGGATCAACGGTCTAGCTTCAATCTCGAACCGGGAAAGCAAATTTTGCCCAAGCCACACAAATGGAACATGAACCCCTTTGATCATAAACTCAAACCCTAGTTGAATTCTTTTAACAACCTAATTTGAGAGAGATGAATTCTCTTTTTGCTAAACCCTAAAACCCTTAGCCATAAATCCATATTTGAGAGATAGAAGAGAGAATAACTTCATAACCTAAACCTTTAGGTTCTTTCACAATGTGGGAGAGAGATCAAGCATAAGAGAGATAAACTTTCTTAAGAGAGAGAAATAGAAAGATAAAATGTAGAGATTTTGGGTAGAGACAATCCATTTTTATAGGCTTTGAATAAGATTAGGGTTTTTTAGGGTTTTCTTTAGCTTGCATCTTCTTATGAGATTGAACATAAACCGTCGATCAAAGGTGACTTGTGGGGTGAGAGATCTGAGCCATCCATTCCATATATAGACCATCAACATTATAAAATGTGCATGAACCAACATCCCCATTTCTTAAACCATTTTCTCATCAATATAAATTAAATCTAGTCAAAATATTGTGCATACCATAAAATAACTCAAGTCTACTCAATCTTTCCATAAAATCTTTCAAAGATATATCAAGTCAATATCTTCCAACCATATGGCCACATGCCATATCTCCAAACAATAGGAAAGAGAATAAGGGTGGGGCGTGCCACCCAAGGGAGGCACTCATGGGCCCCACCTTCTAAAAATATGACGGGCCCATGTGCACAATGGCCCCCATGATATTTTTATATATTTAAAATTAATAAAAATATTTTAAAATATTATTTGAATATTTAAATAATTGTAAAATCAATATCTTTAATTTTATATTTCCAAAAATTATAAATAAAATATTCAGGGGTTCATAAAAAGTTAAATAATAATCTTAAAATAATTTCCATCATGAAACAAGCATAATTAAATTAATTTGATGGAAAAAAGATCCATATGATTTAAGAATCAACAATCATGAGGCACTCTACCTTCAACTGTGGACTACAGACCACACTTGCTTTATCAAACCGATCCAGTGTTTTTCATGACCCTTAGTCCAAGCAGGGGCTCATTAGAGGGTCACCAAAGTCCGGCCGATGAGCTAAGGGATCGCAATCCCAGTCTGTGGATTTCAAGTCCCCCCTAGAGACGAGTCAAGATCACCTAGACCTGATGCGACTATAGCTCCTATGGTGTATAGGGGTATCTCTCGCACATGCATACGCTTCACCCTAAAAGGTGGATTTTTTGCTTTCCCTAACGATCTATTGATATGCATGCCGTGTGATGGTACATGGATGAGGTTTTGACCCTTGTCTTTGTGGGCCACCATCACACACAAAGGTCACACAGTCCCTCGGCTCACTCATCCGAGCATGTTCTCCGACCTCATCAAGGGCTAACCCATAAACCCTCATCGGTTTGTTCTTCATACCCAGGTAACATGGGTTTTTCCCAACCGATTGACCTAAATCGTAAAGCACAGATCAGTATCAGCAAACCATTGTTTGCTTCCACGAGGGACCACACTCCCACTGAGTTCATGTTCCACTATATCATTTCATTTTACAAGCACTCATAAGACTTTTAAAGGCCACATGAACCCAATATCTCCTACTATTTGAAGGCCTTACATTCTCTCTTTCTCACTTTCTCTCATTCTCATCTCTCTCTCCCAATTACAATATCTCTCAAGTATTTTTACTTATTCTCTCAATACATTAATCATGTCTTTTGCCATCAATCCTTTCACAAGAGGATTTTCAGAGGCAACATATTTTTCTCTTTGCTACTTGGATCTCATCCCGAAAATGGTCATAGCTCATCTTTCACATCACATTGCAAATCATGGACCTGTTGTCGTAAAAGACCATCACGTACCCTCATCGCATGGGGTTGTATGTTCATGGGCTCAAAAGAGTTCTTCAAATAAGCTGCTCCCTTTTGTACCTATACAACCAGCACCAAATATTTGGGTTCCATGGGGGAACAACATTATAGTCTGTTGTTTCATTTGACATGCCAAATACTAGCAGGTGCTCCTACTGGAATATTTAGTTTATCTGGATCTTGATATTTCTTAATCTCACCTCATTCCTCAAGTAATAAAAATATGGTTTCATATGCTTGGAGTTCTTATGGAATTGTGGCTCCTTTGACACGCATATCGTCACCGTGCTGTCGATGAAAATTCTTACTGTCTCATAACGCACGAGGTGGAAGTCAAGTCGATTAAGAAATTTCTTAATCCATACAGCCTCCTCAATCACCAAACAGCATGCTGCGTACTGTGCCTTCATAGTGGACAATTTTGTCACATTTTATTTTTTTTATTTCTAAGAAACTGCACCCCCTCCAAACATAAACACATATGCTGATGTAGACTTCATATCATTTGGATCGGTGAGATAGCTTGCACCTATATATATCAGAATATCCAATTAGCTAAAAAAATGTTGGGCTGTAGTAGCTCCCATTCAATTATTGCATATACAACATATACATTCTCAACATTCTTATACATATATCATGAGGTAGCATATCATGTCTCATGCAAGATGTAATTCAATACCCGTTGGTTTCACAATATGCAAAAACCTTCATGAACCACAAAGGTTCAGCCACACCAGACATCTTGGTAGTAAATTCATACAAACTACGTTATCTAATCAACACAATATGTGTTAGGGAAGCCCAGCATAATGTCATTTCTACAACATTC